AGAAATAAGAGCCATCACACAAATAGATATATGCACACCCATGTTCATTGCAGCACTGTTCACAATAGCAAAAAGATGGAAACAACCTAGGTACCCATCAACGGACAAAAGGATAAATAAATTATGGTATATCCACACAATGGAACACTACAGAACGATAAAGAACAACGGTGAAGCCATGAAACATAACACGGAGGAAGCTCGAGGTCATTATGCTGAGTGAATTTAGTCACAGAAGGACAAATATTGTATAAGACCGCTATCATAAGAACTCAAGAAAAGGTTTAAACACAGAAGAAGACATTCTTTGTTGGTTACAAGGGTGGGGAGGGAGGGTGAGGGTTATTTACTAACTAGATAGTAGATAAGAATTATCTTAGGTAGAGGGAAAGACAGCACACACTACAGGGGAAGTCAGCACAACTGGACGAAACCAAAGCTAAGAAGTTCCCTGAATACAATCAAACACTTTGAGAGAGTAGCAGGGGTAGGGATCTGGGGACCATGCTTTCAGGGGACATCTAGGTCAATTGGCATTAGAAAGCTTATTAAGAAAATGTTTTGCATCCTACTTTGGTGAGTGGCATCTGGGGTCTTAAAAGTTTGCAAGCGGCCATCTAAGATACATCAATTGGTCCCAACCACCTGGAGTAAAGGAGAATGAAGAACACCAAAGACAAGGAAAGTATGAGCCCAAGAGACAGAAAGGGCCACATAAACCAGAGACTTCATCAGCCTGAGACCAGAAGAACTAGATGGTACTGGGCTACCACTAATGACCGCCCTGACAGGGAACATAACAGAGAGTCCCTGATGGAGCAGGAGAAAGGTGGAGTGCAGAACTCATTCTAGTAAGAAGACCAGATTTAATGGTCTGACTGAGACTGGAGGAACCCCAGAAAGCATAGCCCCCGTATTTTCTATTGGCCTAGAACTAAAACAATTTCCAAGGCCAACTCTTCAGGCAGGGATTGGACTGGACAGTGGGACATAAAGTGATACGAGGAACGTGCCTCTTAGCTCAAGTAGATCCAAGAGACTAAACAGGCAGCTTCTGTCTGGAGGTGAGATGGGAAGGCAAAGAGGGTTAGGAGCTGGTTGAATGGACATGAGGAATCGGGTGGAAAGGAGTGTGCTGTCACTCTATGGGGAGAGCAATTAGGGTCACATAACAATGTATGTATAAATTTTTGTATGGGAGACTAGCTTGAAATGTAAACTTCATTTAAACTACAACAATTAAAAATAAGTTTTAAAGTCCTGCAAATAAAAAGTATATTCAGTCGTCTTGATTATTAATATATATATTTTTTATATGTAATATATATTATTGTTTTATATATAATATATAAATTGTAATATATAAAACATATGTATAGTTTTCTTGAGGATCCATGTACGTTCAAAATTCAGATTATATAGTCAGTCTTTACTCTCAAGGAAAATACCAGGATGATGTTTTTGCCTTGAGGAATATTACAGCCCCTAACCTCAAGAAGTTTGTATTCTCCTGGGAGCAATAAAATCTGTTGCACTTCAGCTGAAAAACTATATAGAGCAAGATGTAATAGAGTTCTAAGCCTTCAGGTCTGGACTTCAGTGTGGTTGATATTCAGAAAAAGAAAATCAGGGAAGCCTACAAAAAGGCAAGGAGTCATGAGTTTGAAAAAACTATAAAATGTCTGGTGCAGACTATCACAACAGAGGCAAGAAAGGCTGACAAGGACTAAGGAAGACTGGACTTTATGCATGGATTGTCTGCATGTGCCTGTGGGTGAATATGTATGTGGGTGATGTATCAAAACTTAAATCCTTCTATCCATGTCTTTCCCAAGCTTTCCAGTTTTTTCACTTTCATGTCTTCTCATCACCTAAGCGCAGAATCTTGTATGGAATAGATACTCAATAAAACTTAACTGAATTAAATTCTGTTTTTAGGTTAACATACATATGTACTTCTCTGTCTAAAACTCTAGTGCTATTCCTCCATCTTGTTGCCAGCATAAAAACTGCATGTTCCTCCAGCTTGCGCTTAGCCTAGGAGTGCAGGGAGCCCTGAGTAACTTTCCCTGCCACATAAGCCTCAGGTTGGAAGTGGTTCCATCACTAGGGTAAGACCACGACATTCATACCCACTGAGCTAACAGGCCTGACTTCCCATCTTTTTTCTCTTCTCTCCTTGCTTCCTAGATTACACGCTTTGCCTTCTAGGCTGTATAACCAGTTAGCAAAAGACAAACATCAAATCACCTTCTCAGTACTCTACTTTGTGTGAGGGGTAGATTGAGGGAATTAGGTAGACCTCTGAGGCAGGAAAAAAATAGTCATCTCCCTCTTTCCCCCTACTCCCACAGACGCAACAGCCAATACCAGATATGGTTAAACAAAGGTGTATTTAAATGAGTCCAAATGTAAAACATTAAATTTTAGCAGAAATGAAGTCTATTTTGCACTCTAGATAGGAATTCTTGCAAAGAACATTTTACTTCTCTGTCTACAAGATTAGGCAGTATATTGTAATTTAGTGTTTATCAAGCTTAGTAGTGTCTGACATGTACAGTAACTATGGACAATGTTTGGAGAATTGGAAAAAATAAAAAAGGTTTTCTAGTAATTGCAAGTAGATAGAATCATTTCCTATTCCTGTATAGCGTATCTCACACACATGCGTGCATATATCCAGGCTTATCGTTTTTTCCCTTGGCCTTATGTTTCTCAGAGAGCAATTTAATTCTTAAATCTAAAGCATAACCAAGCCCTCTATGACAGGTACACATGAGCACCTATTCGCTACCCTAACCTCGGAGTAGTATGAGAAAGAACTATTACTGTTACTGAGTTCTTCAGAATTATTTCATTCTTTGGAGACTCATGCCCTAGCACCTAAATCTTTAAGGACATCTGGCTAAAAGGAAAGGTTGGGTTTTTTTTTTTAATTCCAGCCCCTACGTGGCATTTATTTTTAATTTGAAGAGTAACAGGTCTTTGAGATCATTTAAGAATATATGAGCAGCTTTCTCATAAAATTAAGGAAGACCAGAGAAAGATAATTTTCTCAAGGATATCTTTAGAAATTATGGAGAGGCTCCCATATTGCTCTCTAATAATAAATAAATAAATTGGGTGTGAGAGTGGCAAGGCTTGAGGTTCACTAGGTTAATAATGTGCATTATTAATGAAATTGTGTTTCTCTGGTACTGAAGTTGGTCAGATAGCAATTATGAGTTCTAAGAGAACAAGTAAAAAATATTTTTCCCAATTTTAAATGTCCATTGTGTAAAACTGAAGCCTCAGAAGATATTACCTTGTAGTTTCACGTGCCTACCAATAGGCATACCACTGAGTAACCCAGGAGGACACATAGGTCCTAGTTTGAGAAGAAAGGTCCTAAGGGATTAAGGCTGTGTTTTCCTGGTCACCTAAAAAGCAGAATGTGCATCATCATCAGGAGACAAGATATAATGGGGCTCATTTGGGGTAAATGAAAGGAATGACAACTTGTCCTAAGAGACCATCCCTTAATGTTCTAGTGATCTAACTGGATGGATGCCTAATACTAGCCCGATAGGTATCAGTCAAATTTTCCCTGAGGGTACTTGTTAATAATTTCACACACTGCTTTGTTTGGTGAAATTGGGAATTGTTTAAATTCCTGTCTGACTCTATTTTCAGCAGCATTCAGAAAGCAGCAGAAACACTATAGCTTTCATTCTCAAAAATGAGTCTAAGATACTATAACTTTGGGAGTAGTCCCCTGTATGCATACACCTGGAAGAAGGGTACCGGTGTCCTTGATGCCATCAAACACAGTGAGGGGACAGATCGGTGCTGTGAATATCTCTTATTGTGGAAGAATGAGCCTAAAGTGAGTATCCAGAACACTCATAACAGATGACTTAACTGAATATTAGAGGAAATTAATACCTCACAGAAGTCTACAAAACACTTTCTTATATGTTCATGTTTTCATCTTTAGACATCAGCAGGATAATGACAGTTTGAGCTTCATGTTATCTAGTAATTCCTTATATCATTATATGCATCTGACAGGGAGGAGATGTAGATAGTTACATTTGAAAAAGAAGCTTTTAGAAAAAATAAATAACAAAATTACTTACTTTAGAACGTTCTCGTATTATCGTCAATAACAGAAAGAGTAGAAGACAGGTGATCATATATACAAATGTATTTAAGTTCATTTTAAAGCCAGATAGGACCCACAGCAGTTGCATTTCTCCCTTATGCCCTCTGCCCCAATTAACCAACATTCTGAAGAAATCACATGATATAAATTAGGTAATAGCCTCAAGCCAATGTTTTTAAGAGTACTCTAGAAAATTAACACTTTCTTGTATTTTGTGTTTTCTTGATTACATCTTTGCTTTGTCTTTTTCAATTATATTTTTCCCTTACTGAAAGCTTCCCGTCCTTTCCTGTTACAGGATTATAGCTGGACAGACATCCGCTGCCCCTTTGAAAAACGAAGAGATGCAGCATGCGTGTTCTGGGACAATGTAGTGTACATTTTAGGTGGTTCTCAGCTTTTCCCAATAAAACGAATGGACTGCTATAATGTAGTGAAGGATAGCTGGTATTCCAAACTGGGCCCTCCAACACCTCGAGATAGCCTTGCTGCTTGTGCCGCAGAAGGCAAAATTTATACATCTGGAGGTTCAGAAGTAGGTAAGGACTTCTTCAGTATTTTTGTTTTGGGGAAGTGTTTTAAAGCCAAGTATCTTGGCTCTCATATGGAAGTAGACAGTTGCTGTTATCTATCCAGATACTTTTTGACCTAACTTAAATGCATGTCTGTCACATTTTAAAGCCCATTACCTGACTCCTTTATAAATCAGTAGTTTGTAAGGATTTCAACTTCCTAGTTTATGTTAATTGTCCATTTTTCATGATGATGAAACATTATTTGGCGCCATCTGAATTTTAGTTTGAGATTGAGTATTTTGGATACATAATACAGTGAAACTGCGAGAGCCAGAACACAACAGGATCACAAGTTTTCCACCTTTTACAGGGTACAGTCTTACCACTTTTCTATCACTCATTTTAGTGGAAAACATTTGAGTTTTCCTTCTCTGACAGCTCTCTGCCTTACACAGGTTCTGGCTTTCGCAGATTTTACTGTATTTGGTTTAAAGATTTCAGAGTCTGGCTTACTAATAGACCCTTTAGGAACTCTTTACTACATTCAAGCCTTTAAAGTATGTCTTATTTATCCTTTCTTTGTATCAGAAGAAAGTAAGAATGATCTTTTTTCTTTTGCTTTACTCTTTAACTCTTTAATCCAGTGAGTAGCAGTGGTATTTTATACTTACTGATCAGAGCTGGTTGTGGGGTGTAAAAACCTTTCTCGCTGATGGATAATTTATTAAGTGTCCCTTGGTGATTTTTTTTTTTTAAATTAATACTCTAGGTGCAGACTAGACACATAATAGCTTTTATATGCTTTCATCTTTTCAAGTAATTTCTTTAGCTAAATAATGGGCTTATAAAGAAAATTAGGAAGACCAAGTAAACTTAAGATGTGGAATTTAAATACTAATTAAGTCTCTTTATTTTTCTTTGATGATTTTTATATTAGCCCAAAATGTTTAAGTTTTGGTCAGCATGTTTATCTGTTTTAAGTTTTTACCCTTTACTACATGCCAAATAAATACAAGAAAAATTATGATATCCTAAGTGTGACTTGAGAAGATGGCCTTCTTAATACAGCATATTTCAAATACAGTGTATCCTGAAGGTGATAGAAAGTAACCACTCTGTGGTGTAGTAAATAACTTTATTTCTTCAGTGTTTACTCAGTCATTTTTTTTATTTAAATAGGAGGGTGTATATAGATATAGATAGATGTCTGCTAAATACTGTGTAATTTTCCCTTAGTGTCAAACAACTAAATCAACTAGATTGGAAGTTTAAGAAGTTACAGTCATTTTTGTTCATGACTGTTAATTCTATTTCTTATTTTCTTATCTTTGCTTCTCATAAACCTGGGTTGTGATGAAGAATTATAAGGGTTTTGTTTTTTATTTTCTAATGCTTTGGCATTTGCAAAGCCCAGCAGAGTGGGAAGTGCAAAATAGTTGGGTGAAAGTCAAACTTCTTTTTCCTTGGGAAGGACAAAAGCACTTGATCAGTAATAGTATCATTTCTAAAATCGTTATGGAACTCCTACAATGTACAAAAGTTGCAAAACAGGAGGAATAGATGTTTTGTCTTTAGAACTTATAATTTAAATACACCAGACACGTACAGCAACACTTTGAGGGTATACGCAGGAAAGGACCAGCCTGTGACTTCAGGGTTTACCCAGATAGCCACTGAGGAGTTAAGTAGTTTTATTAATGGTACAGTAGCTGTTATAGACTATTAACTGATAAGCCTTAGAACATTATTAGATAGTTTTCAGATTTTAAGATGTAGATTTGCCAGCTATAAATAGCTATGCTTTTTACTCCAAATAAACATTTAACGTTTGGATATAAAGTTGGGTATAATGCACCACTGGGCTTGAAGACATATATTTCTTATTTAATTTCTCTTTTGAAATCAAAGAAATTTCTTATTCTAAAGTTTAGTTACTAGTAAATAAGTCTTTCCAGTAGATCCTTCTTTGAATATTTTTCAGGATCTATACAAATGGGATTAGCTTTTTCTTTGTAAGTGAAAGGTAAGAATGTTTACATTTTGAAAAACTACTCGTGCATTTTTTTTTTTTTTTTGCTATTGTTGATTGAGTATAAAACTGATTAAAACTAAAAACTAAACCCGTTGCCATCGAGTCAGTTCCGACAGAGTAGAACTGCCCCATAGGGTTTCCAAGGAGCAGCTGGTGGATTCGAACTGCCAGCCTTTTGGTTAGCAGCCAAATGCTTAACCACCAGGGCCCCAGAAAACTGATTATACAACCCTAAATCCTTCCCTCCCACAACTGATGAGTCAGCTCTATAGTCACTTGGTTCCAAACCCCACCCCACCCCCTACCTTCATACACACACACAAAGTTAAGCAAAATGGGGCCCTTTTCTTTTACAGGAAACTCCGCTCTGTATTTATTTGAATGCTATGATACAAGAACTGAGAGCTGGCACACGAAGCCCAGCATGCTGACTCAGCGCTGCAGCCACGGGATGGTGGAAGCCAATGGCCTGATCTATGTTTGTGGTGGAAGTTTAGGGAACAATGTTTCAGGGAGAGTGCTGAATTCCTGTGAAGTTTATGATCCCGCCACAGAAACGTATGTATCAATTTAAAACTCTTACTTCACAGTTAATTGTATTCCTTAAGCTCAGTGGAAGGGGATGTCAAAAGGCAGGAGGAACTGAGAATGTACATATACTTTTGAATATGCTAAGGTCAGTGGTGTGTTTACAGCCTGGACCCCCACAGCGGTGGGTGCTTCCTGTATACATTAACTGTCCTGACCTTACATCCCACGAGAGCCCTTCTCTTTCTGGTCTTTATCCGGCAGTAAGTGCCATGAGTGAGACAAGTCTGATGGATTCATCAAACACATAAAATGTTTTTGTTTGAGAGGCCAGGAAATGTAGGGAAGGAAGGGGGGTGAGGGAGGGACAACCTTACGATCAGTACTAAATTTGCCCTTAAGTAGGAGTATTAAACTTATTGGTTCGTGACATTACTAAATCATGCCCCTACGTATAATGTCTTTTTGTGTTCATACTTACTAAAGTGTATTTGCTTTCATATTCTTGAATCAACTGGGAAGGAAATAACTGCTTTTAAAAAGACAAAATGCTAAAGAAAGCAATGGTGAGCCAAGTTTTCTGACCTTATAGTTAATGATGGACCCTATTCAGTATAGCCAAGAAATGTACAAAGCATTGAATAATGGTTACGGTGGTAAGTGCAGTGACACTAACCTAATGAGGAAATTGACATGATGATATTCCTTTTGTTGATGTTCAGAAACATCCAAAGAGCTTTGAGAAAAAAAGTCAGTTGCTCATGTGACTGGATTGCCCATTGTTTTTCTTTTACCAGAACAAGTTACTTAAATGTTATGGGAAAGAGTTGCACCAAAACTCTTGTGCTTAAGTTTTATGTTTACAAAATATTACCAGACTAAGAAACATAGAAGTCTTTAACTCTAGCTATTGCTTTTTAAAAATTAAGAGATGAGAAATTGATTATGAAATATGATCAGTCATGTGCATTTATCTATTTATGCTTCTCACCTACTTTAAATGGATTTAAGGGACATAATAGTTCCTTTCCCAAGCAAAAGCGCAGTTACAACTGTTCTTTTCTCATTTTTTGCTCAAATGGTTATCAGTGTAAGGAATAGATGTAAAAGCAACTTATCCTTTGAAACTTATGCTAAAATATTGAGACTTCGGTAATCCACCTCATCTTGTCCCAAACCAAAGAGAATGTGTGTGTATATACTAGATGTCTTCCCTCTTGTATCAGCTGCTACCTTTCTCCCGTAAACACTGTGTTCAAAAAATGATACAGCATACTAATTGGAAAACTGCAGTCTGATTCATCCTGCTGCCTAATTACTTCTTCATTTCTAAAAAATTTCTTAAAGTGGAACCTATTGCAGTATAAACTTCAGGGTTCTAGTTTTTGAGATCTTTTTTCAGGCAATATCAGTGTAAATAAAAAAGAATAAGGGAATTTGGCAGCCTCAACATTTTTTAAAACTAGGTGAATATATTCTGCTTAGCGAGTATTTAAAAACTTACATAGCTTAGTATTTCTTTCGTGTATATTGAGCTTATGTGTTAAGTTTGAATTCTCTGTGTTCTCTTCAGTGCCCTTAAATTTTCATAAATGAAAAGCTAATGTGAACTATCAAATTGTAAAAATGAAAAATAACTTATATACTGCTACAGTTTTCTTTCTGAATGTTATCTGACCATCTAAGTTACTTTTTATAAGAATTATTCTTTCCAATTTTTGGCATTTTTCTTACATGTTTTATAACTTAAACCTACGAAAAATGGCACATTTTAAGAAGTCAGACCTTTAAGAGAAGCTTCTAAACGCTGAACTTCAGGATGGAGAGAGCAGAGCAGGGGCCTAGCAGGTGCTCTGCATGTGAAGTAGAGGAAGTATATTTTGTGAAACTTCCTTATTTGTAAACTTTCAGGAAATGTGGATAGACAGAAAAACATGCATTCACTGACTTTTTCTTCACTTTACATTGTGGACATATTTGAAGAAGAAAAAACCAAACCATACCTGTTGCCGTTGAGTCAATTCCAACTCATAGCAACCCTATAGAACAGAGTAGAACTGCCCCATACAGTTTCCAAGGAGTACCTGGTGGATTCGAACTGCAAACCTTTTGGTTGGCAGCGGTAGCTCTTAACCACTACGCCACCAGGGTGTCCGACTGAAGAAGAAAGAGGTATGTAAATTGAATTCTTCTAAGTCAAATGCAGTGTTCAGTGCACTATGGAAGCTCACTGTGCACAGAGGCAGTGGAGCCCTCGTCCTGGCTGTCCCACTTCCCAGCTGAAGACTGCCCATTTCCCCTGGATGAGCATGTCTTTATCCTGAAAACAGCAGCGCCTGCCCACCTCACCCCATGGAGTGCTCCGAAAATGAGAGTGGCTTCTCTCAAACCATTTTTAAAACAAAAAGCAATACATAAACTTCTGAGGTTCATCCTTCAGCCAACGATTAGACAGGATAGAACAAAACGAGACTAAATGGGTACACCAGCCCAGGGGCAAGGACAAGAAGGCAGGAGGGGACAGGAAAGCTGGTAATGGGGAAGCCAAGGTCAAGAAGATAAGGGTGTTGGCACGCCGTGGGGTTGGCAACCAATGTCACAAAACAATACGTGTATTAATTGTTCAATGAGAAACTAATTTGCTTTGTAAACCTTCATCTGAAGCACAATAAAAAAAGCAATACATAAATATAAAACAATGTAAAATTGTTAATTGTTAATGTTTTCAGAGTTAATAATCATGTTCCAATTTATGTTTGAGAAAGTTAAATTTATCAACTTTTTTTAAAGAAGAGACATAAATAACTGTTTAAGAAAGTTACATTTATGCCAAGTTTCCCTTTTGTTGTTGGTGGTGGTAGTTTATTTTAGCTGTTAAGAGCCCAAACCTGTGCGCCACCTTCACAGTCAGAAATACCAATTGTGTGTATGGGAGCATACACAGAGGAAGGGATTGAATCTCATACCAAAAAAATAACTAAATACAGTTGTCTGTATATGTGTATGAAGCTGGCACCTGTGAATTAGCATCTTTCAACAGTTGTGTCTACATGTATATTCTCAATCTCATTATTTATAATAGTGGCTATAAATACAACATGCTAATAAATAGTTAAACTTGACAGAATTATGGAGTGTACTTTTGTTACCAGAGCTACCTGAAGTCCCAATGTAGATATGAGGCTAGATGTGTGAATAATAACAAATATTACTAATTTGCTGGAGGCTTGTGGTAAGTTAGTGTCTTACTAACGTGTACGTAAACATTAATTAAAAACGTGGCAGAATAAGTGCTTTATATTCTCTAAGTATCTTCTTTTTTGTTCGTATTTTACAAGTTATTGTGAACCACGGGATATAGATTTCTTCCTAAGGCATGTTAATTATCTGCAGATATCCTCTACTTCTCATGTCCTCTCATATCCTGAGTTGAAAGGAATAAAATCCCTATTTACCCCATCTACAAATAATCACTGTCAAACTTTGGTTTCCTGACCTTCTAGCCATTTTTCTGTGCATGTGTGTTTGTGTGTATGTACACATATGAGTGGTAAACGAGCACTTCATTGGGATAACAGACTCTTCTAATAAATGAGTATAAGAGTCCGTTTACTTCCTGTGAGCAAGCACACTAAAATACTTTAATTTTTTCAGGTGGACTGAACTGTGTCCAATGATTGAGGCCAGGAAGAATCATGGACTGGTATTTGTAAAGGACAAGATATTTGCTGTGGGAGGTCAGAATGGTTTAGGTATGTGATATTAATTCACTGTTCAACTTTCCCAGTGAGTCTGCTGATACTTCCTTATCTCAAATTATGAAGCATTTCTTAAAATCTAGAGGCAGATATTTACCGCATACATCATTATATTTTTTATACTTTCTGGAAACTAGTATATTTTATGAAACACTGCAGGACATTTAACATCCTTGTGCATGAAATGTCAGTAATGGCCCCCAGGCATTGTGACAATCTCAGACGGCTCTCACACATTTCTAGATACCCCCTGGGAGATGGTATCATAATAGCTTAAGAACTGTTGACCAGTAAAACAATTGAATTTACACCTTTCAAATTTTTTTAAATGCAAATAGACAAGAATTATCTTAGGTGAAGGGAAGTACAGCACATACTACTTGGGAAGTCAGCACAACTGGACTAAACCAAAGCTAAGAAGTTTCCTCAATACAACCAAACACTTCAAGGGACAGAGTAGCAGGTGCGGGGGTCTGGGGACCATGGTTTCAGGGGACATCTAGGTCAATTGGCATAACAAAGCTTATTAAGAAAATGTTCTGCATCCCACTTTGGTGAGTGGCATCTAGGGTCTTAAAAGCTAATGAGCGGCCATCTAAGATGCATCAGTTGGTCCCAACCACGTGGAATAAGGAGAATGAAGAACACCAAAGACACAAGGAAAGTATTAGCCCAAGAGACAGAAAGGGCCATATAAACCAGAGACTCCCATCAGCCTGAGACCAGAAGAACTAGATGGTGCCCTGCTACCACCAATGACTGCCCTGACAGGGAACACAACAGAGAGTCCCTGATGGTGCAGGAAAAAAGTGGGGTTCAGAACTCAAATTCTGGTAAAAAAAGACCAGACTTAATGGCTTGATTGAGACTGGAGGAACCCCAGAAGACATGGCCCCTGGACTCTCTGTTAGCCCAAAATTAAAACCATTCCTGAGATCAACTCTTCAGACAAAGATTAGACTGGACTGTGGAACATAAAATGATACTCGTGAAGAGTGTGCTTCTTAGCTCAAGCAGATACATGAGACTAAAGGGGCAGCTCCTGTCCAGAGGCGAGATGAGAAGGCAGAGAGGGTCAGGAGCTGGTTGAATGGACACGGGAAATCCGAGGTAGAAAGAAAGAGTGTGCTGTCACAGTATAGGGAGAGCAACTAGGGTCACAAAACAAAGTATGTATAAATTTTTGTATGAGAGACTAACTTGAATTGTAAACTTTCACTTAAAGCACAACAGTTTAAAAAAAAAATTTTAAATACAGGTTTGAGGATTTATATTCTGGCACTGAATGGCAAAGTTTCTTAAATATTTTTAAACATTGCATTAAAACATTCCTTTTTTTTTTTTTTTAATACAAAAATTTATACACACATTGTTATGTGACCCTAATTGCTCTCCCCATACTGTGACAGCACACTCCTCCTTTCCACCCCTGATTCCCTGATTCCCCGTGTCGATTCAACCAGCTCCTTACCCTCTCTGCCTTCTCATCTCACCTCTGGACAGAAGCTGCCCATTTAGTCTCTTTTATCTACTTGAGCTAACAGGCACACTCCTCACGAGTATCACTTTATGTCCCACAGTCCAGTCCAATCCCTGTCTGAAGAGTTGGCCTTGGAAATTGTTTTAGTTCTGGACCAACAGAGAAAACGGGGCCATGCTTTCCGGGGTTCCTCCAGTCTCAGTCAGACCATTGAGTCTGGTCTTCTTAGTAGAATTTGAGTTCTGCACCTAACCTTTCTCCTGCTCCATCAGGGACTCTCTGTTGTGTTCCCTGTCAGGGCAGTCATTGGTGGTAGCCCAGCACCGTCTAGTTCTTCTGGTCTCAGGCTGATGAAGTCTCTGGTTTATGTGGCCCTTTCTGTCTCTTGGGCTAATACGTACCTTGTATCCTTGGTGTTCTTCATTCTCCTTTACTCCAGGTGGTTGGGACCAATTGATGCATCTTAGATGGCAGCTTGCAAGCTTTTAAGACCCCAGACGCCACTCAGGCGAAGTAGGATGCAGAACATTTTCTTAATAAGCTTTGTTATGCCAATTGACCTAGATGTCCCCTGAAAGCATGGTCCCCAGACCCCTACCCCTGCTACTCTGTCTCTCAAAGTGTTTGATTGTATTGAGGAAACTTCTTAGCTTCGGTTTCGTCCAGTTGTGCTGACCCCCCGGTAGTGTGTGCTGTCCTTCCCTTCACCTAAGATAATTCTTATCTACACTCTAGTTAGTAGATAACCCTCACCCTCCCTCCCCACCCTCGTAACCATCAAAGAATGTTTTCTTCTGTGTTTAAACCTTTTCTTGAGTTCTTATAATAGTGGTCTTATACAATATTTGTCCGTTTGTGACTGACTAAATTCACTCAGCATAATGCCCTCCAGATTCCTCCATGTTATAAGAAAAACATTCCTACTTTTAAGTGAGTAAATTTGACCTCTTTATTGTCTTAATAGTATGCTGAAAAATCTTAGTAATTGTCTTAAGTAATGGGGAATCGAGACTCAATCTAGAGATAGTCCACAAACTTCATTTTATCCAGTACCTTTAAGCATTACTTTAAGTACAACAAAGAAATAACTTCTTTCCCTTCTCCTGTCCCCATCCATTGCTATTTTCTATAAACTACTGAAAGATAAGTGGTAGAAGGAAGTAGACATTTGAATAATTATAATCAAAGTTAATCAGTGAGAAAAAACCACTGATCAGTTTACTTTTTGATTTTCCAGAATAGATAGAACATTTTTCATTTTCTACAATAAATATCAATATTTATGATTCTATAACAAAAAATTGATACTGTATTGAAGAATAGTAAAATGTTAATGGTAGGATTTAGGTACTGGGCATGTGGGCATTCATCATAAACTTCTTACAACTTTTCTGTGTGTTTGAAATTTTTCAAATAAAATGTTGGGAAAGTACAAAATATATTCCTTTAAGAGATCTTCATAGAATTGTCCTTATAATTTTGGCTCATCTTGTTTTATTCTTTTGAAGGTGGTCTGGACAATGTGGAGTATTACGATATTAAATTAAATGAATGGAAGATGGTCTCACCAATGCCCTGGAAGGGTGTAACAGTGAAATGTGCAGCAGTTGGCTCTATAGTTTATGTCTTGGCTGGTTTTCAAGGTGTAGGCCGTTTAGGACACATCCTTGAATATAATACTGAAACAGACAAATGGGTCGCCAACTCCAAAGTCCGTGCTTTTCCAGTAACAAGTTGTTTAATTTGTGTTGTTGATACTTGTGGAGCAAACGAAGAGACCCTTGAAACATGAAAAATGAATGGACTTCAAGACTCATCAAAGATTCAAAAATGTGGCCGCCAGTGCTTTGTTTCAAGATTTTGGTTACAAGGTTTTGGTTTGCAGTTTTGTTTTTTTAAAGAAAGTTTTAAGTAAAATAAGATCCCTGTAAAATAAATATTTCTTTTATATGGTTTCCTTACTTGAATAGAAGACCCTTTTTTAGCTGGCCACATAGCCAGGAACATATCTAGCAAGAGAACTTGAAAAATTATCAGCATTTGGTGAAAATATGAATTCTTGAATGAGTTTCATGTTTGTAACTATGATTATGGCAGATTAGGGGATTGGCTCATCAGTGAAGCAGCCTCATCTTAGCTCTTGATTCTATTTTCATACATCATAGAAGTGCTATGTAGTTTGGTCTGTTGTTTCTGTTCAGTCAAGAACTAAGGAATAGTATAAATTGCAAGTCAAGACAGGCAACTCTAGTGGAGCAGCTTATTAGTCTCACATAATCTTGCTTGTCTTCAGATGCTTCATTTAGTGCCAAATGTATTTCATTTAAAAGTAAGCCCAGAGGGTGTTAAGGCACACACACACATACACACACACTCAGAAAACTTCATAAACAGATTCTTGGAATTAAAAATGTACCCAACTTCTCATGAAATATATTCAGTCTAATTAAATATATACTTTCTTTTTAACACAAACTGTCCAGTTCAGCACTCATCATTAATTTATTTCACTTTTACCCAGTGGTTAAAAAAGGATTCTGCTTCTTCAGTCCTTACTGTTAAATAAAATCAAATCCTGATAAGAATTAATAACTAGCAAAAGATAAAGCTATTTACAATAAATTTCTAGATCACTACAGTAGCACTGAGAGTTGTACCATAATATCAGTGTTGGCTTTGAGCTTGTTAAGGATTAAAAAGATATATGATTTTTTTTCCTTAGCAGGACACATCAAATATATATATTCAACCCAGTGATCTCTAAAAGTTTTGTAGAAATTACAGTTATAAATATGTGGTCAGTGTATCTTTTACAAACCCAACTACTCGTGTCTTTTTTAGTAATGTTTTGCCCTTTACACTGTGTATGGAATGAGCCATGTAAAGCTGTCACCGTCATTATTTTTAATCTGATAATATTAAATATTTTGTAACTTAAAATAGACTGTTCAGTTTTATTCATTCCTTGTTTTAAATGTGTTAGTAATGGTTATTTTTAAAATCCATGAAGCAGTGTTTCTATTTTAATTTTCTTTGTGTTCTTTATATGGGTTTATAAGTTTTGATCCCTAAAAAAATTTTAAATAAAAAGGAATTAGAGAAAGCCTAATGATGGGTATATTTATATTTATGTAGGGTTTCTTTTATGTATATAAGAAATTTATTGAGATATAACTCAGATACAGTTCACTCATTTAAAATGTACCATTCAGTGGTTTAGTATGTTAACAGAGTTATGCAACATTACCACAATCAGTTTTAGAACATTCTCATCATCCCAAAGAGAAACCCCATACCCAATAGCAGTCACGCTGCAATTTCCTCCAAACCCCACCCCCTGGCCCTAGGCTCAAGAGTATTCTATACTTTGTCTCTGTGGATTTGCCTGTTCTGGACATTCTTATGTAGGATTTTGAACATAGCACTCTATTGACAAATGTGGCAAGTTTAATTTTTTTTTTAAGAGAAGAATATCCATTTATAATATACAGTATGCCTATATTATGTAATTTGTAAACTACAATGTGGAATATGCAGCATTGTTTGAGATACTTGAAATACAGTAGTAGCCTTTTTTTTCAGGCTGTGCAACTGACTAGAACACATTATAGTAAGTGTGTAGACAGGTGTAATGCAGGTTACAATAAATTTTTTTTCTTAGTAATTTTTATCATAAGTCCTAATTAGTGTCTGTTTTCTGCTTGGAAATGTTCTACGAGATTATCAATGCCAGGATAATGAGTAAAAGTGCAATATATTGACGTATTTATTACCTTTTTTTCTTTTTTTCTCATACAAAAATTTATACATACATTGTTATGTGACCCTAATTGCTCTCCCCATACTGTGACAGCACACTCCTCCTCTCCACCCCTGAATCCCCATGTCCATTCAACCAGCTCCTAACCCTCTCTGCCTTCCCATCTCACCTCTGGACAGAAGCTGCCCATTTAGTCTCTTGGATCTACTTGAGTTAAGAGGCACACTCCTCACGAGTATCACTTTATGTCCCATAGTCCAGTTTATTACCTTTTTTTCAATAATACTTATATAAAGTATCTACATTTTTGGTAAACATTTGATATGTTAATGTTATATCCACTATTTGTACGACAGCAACTTAGTTTATACTTTGAAAATCATGAACATAAAAGTTTTAGCATCTTGAAAAAATTATTGCTGTAAAAGACAGTACTTAACTACAATTGTGTGACTATATGGCCTAACTTTCAAAAACTTGACATGTAAAAAGCCTCATGAAGAATTTTGTGAATTTTGAGATTATAGTATTACTAAAAGAAATCAAAATGCATCATTTAATAAACAATTCAGACAGTTTATACTCCTTTTACCTTAATACTATTAACAGCAAAAATCCTGGATTTGCTGCATAGGCCATAGAAAAGGAGATATTTGGAAGAAAATTTGCCTTTTAAGGGTACTATTAACAGTTCCGCTACTATTCATAAGGTTTTCACTGGCTAATTCTTCTCAGAAGTAGACTGCCGGGTGCTTCTTCCTAGTCTGTCTTAGTCTGGAAGTTCAGCTGAAACCTGTCCGCCATGGGCTACCCTGCTTCTATCTGAATACTGGTGGCATAGCTTCCAGCATCACAGCAACACAGAAGCCCCCACAGTAGAACAAACCGACAGATGGGTTTCGTTCTGTTCATAGGGTCGCTGATTCAACGGCACCTAACAACAACTATTAGCAGAAAGAAGCTCTGGTAATGCAATGGTTAAGCACTCTGCTGCTGACCAAAAGGTCAGGAGTTCCAACCTACCAGCTGCTCCAGTGAAGAAAGATTTGGCGGTCTGCTTCTGTAAAAATTTCCAGCCTTGGAAACACTATGAGGCAGTTCTCCTCTGTCCTATAGGTTCCTTGTAAGTTGGAATCCACTGGATGGCAATGGGTGACAACAATTAACATATCAAAGACTTGAGAAAACTCAATCCAGTCTGATGTTGCCACCAAACCAGCTCTCACTCCCACTGCTGTGGAGTCAATTCTGACTCATAGCAATCCTTTAGGACAGAGTAGAACTGCCCCATAGGGTTTCCAAAGCTGTCATCTTTGCAGAAGCAGCCTGCCACATCTTTCTCCCACCAAGTGGCTGGTGGGTTGGAACCACTGACCTGTCAGTTAGCAGCCCAGCGCTTAACCACTGTACCACCAGGGCTCCTTCAGCTCTCACTAAATCCCAATAATTTGGTAATATTAAAGGACGCTTTTTAGGCTTCATCACTTAACACTTGACAAGTCCTTCAAGGAACTTTCTTCCTCTTTACAGTTGCCTCAAAGGACTCCAAAAGTCTTGCGTCCATTTTTTATCTTCCTAACTTTTCTCCTTTCCAATCTGAGTCAAACTACTTTGGAAATAAAAAAAAATAAAAATAGTCTGTGCTGGTAAATTGTCTGAAATGTTAGCCTTACTAACTAGAAAGCTTTGTGTTTTCCCGAGCAATTAAGGCCCCCTCATAAGAAGATGTAAAATGGGGTTCAAGATCAAGTCCATTCAAATCTTGCACGTGGCTTCCCTGACTTTCTTTTCCAACCCTCTATTGGATTTATTTCCATTACTGTATGTTTAATTTCCAAGAGCGCTCTCTGTTTATGATTGCTCTTTTTTATAGTATGCTCTCGCTTCATGTTATCCTCACTGAGGATATTTTTGTTTCTTTAGCATTTTTATACTTTTGGTGTTATTTCTGTTTCCTATGACTTCTTTTTCTGTTTGTTTGCTTTGCTTTTTCCTGTTGGAGTCTTTCCACAAATACCTGGTTCCTAGCCATGCATTTCAGTTTAAAATGAGACATTTAAAAGCTGATGGTATTTTTTGTGTACAAATAATTTACTGTGTGGATAATAATTTATGGTGAAAAAAACCTCACCATATAATAAGGGAATGGCCAGCTATTTTTGTCAGAGACCTATAGGAAATCCATAGGTAGTTTTCTGGGGTGTTTTTTTTCCCAGAAAGTGATCTTCCAATTTCCTGCCCCTTAAAAGGAGGTTACTGTAAGCCTGGATTCCTGGAGTTCAGGCACAGGACACTATCTCGTCATTCAATAAGCAGATCTTCACTCAGTTCCTCTTTTGTCAGTACCATAACTTGTCCTCTCTACCTGATGTCCTGGAGGCTGAAGCCTCTCCTTCCATTTTTTCAAGAATTAAGCCTATCTCCTGTCAGGTAGGGACAGTCAGCTGCCTCACTGGGTGGGTTTATGGAGCTAGGTTCTACCTGCACCTTATATATTTTCAAACCACCCTTCTGTGGTTCCTGGTGGCTCTTACTTCCTGAGGCTTCTCAGGCTTCTCTGGGGACATCTGTGTCCACCTCACAGGAATATAATTTGATCTTCCTCTCTGCTAAGTAGTTTACAACTTTCATGTTCTTTCAGTCTTCATAAATTGTAGTTCAGAGCAGTGGATATCTTACTATAATCAAAGATGATGTTTTTTATTTTCACAGTTGTATCAAGAAGGCTGTCAACAGGAAAGGGAGGCAGAAGTATTTTTACTCTGTTATAAAACCAGAAATTTCCTTCCTGTAACACCACTCTCCTGATTTCCACCTACTACTCATATACCAAGGAGCCCTGGTGGTACAGTGGCTGCTAACTGAAAGGTCAGCGGTTCAAACCCACCAGCGGCTCCGTGGGAGAAAGATGTGGCAGTCTGCTTCCATAAAGATTTACAGCCTTGGAAAGCCTATGGGACAGTTCTACCCTATCCTATAGGGTCACTATGAGTTGCAGTTGACTGGGGCAATAGGTACTCATATATCTAATCACTGTACGTTCTGCAAGCCTTAGCCCTAGGCTCTTATCTCTCACACTCAGTACTCCACCTAGACAATCTCAACCAGGAGTCTTGCCTACCTCTCTACCCTCACCGAGCACCATGATCACCCTCACTAAGTTTCAGCCACTCTTGTTATTTAGTTCTCTGATCCCAGCAAGTCCTCACACACATTGGCATCTGCATGGAGGAGGAGCCAGTGGCAACGATGAGATATATTGGTTAATATAAAAAGATTGATCAAATAAAGAAATATATTAAGGATAGTGGGAGGCAGGTTTCTCACTATTAAACAAGGGAGTTATAAACATAACATGAATCTTATGATATTGGATTGGAATTTGAGGTTATCAATGTGAACTCACAGTCATATCTATATATGTAAATGTGTATGTATGTATGTATATACGTTCATACTTACGCTCTCTAGCAATGTTCATAAAAGTGCAAAAATATCCCAGTAACAATGAGCACACTTAAGAGCCAAGATCTTGGCCTCTAAGTATCACCAAAAGGAATCAGGGTTCTTTGGAAAAATGGCTAATTCCAGGACTGGAGCATCTCTTTTGGGCCAGAAAGTAAAGAAATACTCTTAAGAATCATGGGGATGTAGCAAAAGAAAAAGGAACCAGCTTAAAAGGGTGCCCACTGGCCAAATTGGGGACAAAGTGAGCATCAAAACAAATGATAACAATGGATTATAACCCGTTGATTAAAACTGGAAGCTATGAGCCCGTACTGATATGAATAAATAAATGAATAAAATTTTTATGAAGAGATTTTTATATAGTTTCAAAGTATCTCCCCACAAAATACTTATAAATAACAGAGGGAAAAAGTAACATTACAATGGAGAAGCTTGACAGACAACACCTTAATCAGATGCTCAAAGTAAACATTAAAAGTAATAAGCAATCCTACTCCTAGGAATATGTCCTAGAGAAATAAGAGCCATAACACAAATAGACATAAGCACAGCTATGTTCATTGCAGCAGCATTCAGGATAGCAAAAAGATGGAAACAACCTAGGTGCCCATCAACAGATGGATGGATGAACAAACTATGGTACGTACACACAATGGAATACTATGCAACAATAAAGAACAATGTTGAATCTGCAAAACATTTCACAACATGG